TCTCACACACACACACACACTCTCTCTCACACACACACACACACACACACACACACTCTCTCTCTCACACAAACACACATACACACACACACAGCATGTGATGTTGTGGCATGTTTGCAAAAAAAAATGCTAAATTGTTATAATAATGTCTAAACATAAATCTAAATGAAAAACTTGGGAATGGTATATGAGGCATTGAGTAATCCTCTTCTGCCATCTAGTGGCATTCATGTTCTTTTAATTTTAAAAGTTTTTCCAGTAGATGGCAGCAATCATCCACTAAACCATGGTACATTTTTTGTTTTACTCACTTCATCTAGTTTGAGAAATATTGATCTTCTTTGAAGTGAATTTTCCAAAAAAAATTGTTTTTAAATTATTATTACAAATTAAGGCAAATAAAAAAATGCCATAAATCTCCCAAAACTGCCCAAGTGCACAGTAAAAGCATTCATAAAGTGAGTGATATTACGTTTGTTTAAAAGATTACATTATTATGTTACAAAATCAAATTTTTCTGTCTGGCTACGTGAGCTAGTTGGACAGAAAAAAGAATTTTGTCAGTCTGTGTGTAACAGCACAGCAAGCAACATAGCATAAGGTTAGTGATATTTGTGTTGATTTAGAACTGTACTGGTGATCAGCCCATCGCCATGGTTACAGGAATGTAAAATCAGAACCAGATCAACAGCAGCTGCTCACTAACTCACCCATGGGAAATAAAACTCTTAAAATGTCCTGGATGGTGATGAGATTAAATAAAGATGTTTGTTGAAGTCTCAAGACAATCAGCATTGTCTTGAACTGTCCTCTGAACTGCCAGAGTCTGCAAACAAACATCAGAAATCTTAACATGAAGTTAAACATTGCAAGAGCAAACTGTTTGGACTATGATAGTAACAAACAAATGTCATGTTTGTGTCATTTTTCCCGAAAATGCTAGTTAATGTTATCTCATTGGATTAAAACTTACTGACTTTGCTCACATAGGGTTTAACAAATTCCCCTTCAAAACTGATCATTTTAGTATTTTTTTGGGATTTCCCCCACCTTTTTACATTTCTTGTTCTTGGTCAGAAATGACCAGCCTTTTCAAAAATGCTTATACATTTCTCGTTATGCTATACCATTACCAAATATTGGATTTAAATGTTTTATTTACTTGTTTTCTTTCAATTAAATTATGTTTAGTATTTCTTTTTGGAACTGATTGATCTTCGGTTTCAATGATCTGAGCTTGTGCACATCAGTTTTTGAGTGAACATTGCCAAAATCCACAAATTGTTTTTTTTTCCCACTCAAAAATTGAAGTACATGAGCTCAGATCAATGAGGCCTACGACCAATCAGCTGCAAAAAGAAATACAAAAGGCTGAATCTAATATTTGGTAATGAAATAGCATAATAAAAGACTAACAAGCAATTTTATTAAAAGCCAGGACAGCAAAAGGGTTAATCCAAAAATGAATATTAACACAATAATACAATTTACTCACCCTCACGTTCTTCCAAACGTGTATGACTTACTTTCTTCATAGGAATGCAACAGGAGAAATTTTAAAGAATGCTTTCCATGAAATAACAATGAAACTGATGGTTTTAAGCAGCAAAAATGACACAAAAGCACCATTAGGCATTATAATAATATTCAATATGGCTTGTGCCATATATTCAAAGTCTCTTAAAGTCATTCAGACTGAAATGTAATCATAAAGAAGAAAGTCATATGAGTTTGAAACAGCACGAGTAGTTTTCAGGTTTAAAGTGCTTTATTGGCACGACAGATATTTGCACATTTGCATTGCCAAAGCAATTAAAACTGCATATTGAAAATAGTGTACAGCGACGTTTCCATTTTTGGCTGAAATGTTTTTTAAACTAATGTTCTGAAGGCAAGAAATGCGCAGCTCATATTTGTGTTAAAGCGCTTTTATTAAATCTTCCATACAAATATTGTTATTTGAGCTCTAAACTGTCTAAATTGTTTAATTTATTGCCTGACTCGTTTCATTTCACATGAGACATGCCTCCCTCAGAAAATAAATACGCTTGAGAAAAATACCTGTTTCTATGCTTTATTAGCAATTAAAAATTGACATTGCATTACATTATGATGATTACAATAATACAACTGCTAAAAGAGCAAACTAAATCAGTGATGTAGATGACAGCAGCGGCATTATGTGTTTTCTGGGTACAGCGTGAGAACTTCTGCTTCTCCGATCCGCTCTAGAACAGAAAGAAATGCTCATAAACAATAACAGAACATTATGAGAACATAAGAGAGCATGACTTCAGCCATTAGAGTCTGAGCAGAAATTACCTGTACGGATGCTAGTCATTAAGCTGGAATCCGTTACTATAGAAACTACAAACAGATGTGCTCGACTGCTTGTTTATTAGAATCTGACGTCTGTGTAGTGGACTAATGCTCACTTGATTGCATGCTTCAAGTCTATATATTTTCTCAAAATTTTTAAATGGGCATATGATGTTTATGAATACAGATCTTAACCTCAAAGCTACAGACATGAACTACAAGCCACAAAACATGAGATTTGATTTAATGAGATCTTTAACTTGATATTCCATCTTTTGTTAAAGTTTCCATGGTGGAAAAAATGCTACAAATAGAGTCCTTTTCCAAAAGTAGGTTAGTACAATTAAAAGTGGATTGTTTTACCCAATTTTGCCTTCTGTTTTTTAATGTTAATCAGAATATTCTAGAGCAGCATTCCATGTATGCTTCGAGAGAGAAAAAAACCCATAATGCATTGCATTGAACGTGTGTTCTAGTTGGACTGTGATTGGATTGTTCTGGTTCAGTCCAATTATAATATATAAATTACCCAATTTTCTCTACTGTTTATTTAATGCTTTTTTTGTTGGTTGCTGCCTGCTCCAAATCAGTCACTGTAGAGGCTCTGTTTCCTTTCATTAAGGGAATAGTTCAGCCAAAAATAAAAATTTGCTGTAAATGTAGCACTGCATCAGTGTCTCAGCAATGGATGCTCTGCAGTGAATGGGTGCCGTCAGAATGAGAGTCCAAATAGCTGATAAAAACATCACAATAATCCACAAGTAATCCACAGCACTCCAGTCCATCTGTTAACATCTGGAGAAGACAAACGCTGAAACAAATCCAGCATTAAGAGGTTTTAACTAAAAAACGAGTCCATAATCCATAATAACGCTTCCTCCAGTGAAAAAGTGCATCTGCTGTCGTCTCTCACATCAAAATCCAGCCACATATTTGTTTAGAGCTGTTTAAACGCTGCTTGATCTGTGCAGATTTCTCTCCTGATTCACACCAGAACACTTTTTCACTGGAGGAAGTGTTATTATGGATTATGGACTCGTTTTTTAGTTAAAACCTCTTAATGCTGGATTTGTTTCAGCGTTTGTCTTCTCCAGATGTTAACTGATGGACTGGAATGCTGTGGATTACTTGTGGATTATTGTGATGTTTTTATCAGCTGTTTGGACTCTCATTCTGACGGCACCCATTCACTGCAGAGCATCCATTGCTGAGACACTGATGCAATGCTACATTTCTCCAAACCTGATGAAGAAACAAACTCATCTACATCTTGGATGGAGTAAATTTTCATTTTGGGTAAACTATTCCTTTGGCTGCAATACATGACACGATTTTAAAACACACACTTGCCCACGTTGTAGGTGGTTACAGAGGAGCAAACACTACAGACAACAAACAAACACAGAAACATGCACCTCATTGCTAGGAGACGCATGACGGATGAAAACAATAGGTGTTCTAAAATTGTTTCACAATATCAAACATGTTTGATCTTCTCTGACTAGATGGAATCATAGACTGATGCTAAAAACCAGAGTCTGTGTCCATTACACACTGACTCCTCCAGACTGCAAAATGGGAAAAAATGTGGGCAAATCCTTAAAAATAAACACTATAAAAAGCAGCATTTTGGGTTCCTTTCAGTGAACGGTTCTTGAAAGAAACATTGTTTTTCTTAGTGTGAGGGACATTTTAATAATCTAAAGATCCCTTTGTCCAGTGGAAAGATTCCATGGATGTTAAAGCTTCAATGCCAATAAACAACCTTTATTTTTAAGAGTGTTTTCCAGTCTTTCCAGCTGTCTACGTAGACCAGGGTTCCTCAATGCCAGTCATGAATGCCCTGATGCAGGCGGTAGACTTACTAAAGTTTGAAACGGAGCCAAATTGTGTTATAATAAAAGCTGAGAGCAATATTTCTGCTCTCTACCAAAAGCAGCCCACGTGAAATCATGAACTCAATCCTCTCAAAATGACAATGGCGTATTAATAACGCTCCAATTCATATCAGTGCACAATACATCTGACACAAGTACAGAAAGCTCACCTGGTTTGTCCTGTAACGGCTCTGCAAGATGTGAACTGTGCAAAAGTCAAATAATAAAACTCACTGAAACAATTATTATGACAGTCACATAATCAGATGAAGATAAAAATATAGGGCAACACTTCAGAATACTGAAGCAACGAGTAACACAGTATTAACATTCTAGTAACTAATATTAACTAACAAGAAACTATGATTAATTAATTAATCAGTAATAGCACTACTAGTTTACTATTAGTTATTATCCTTCAGAAGGAATTTCTGTCCATAAACAACCATTACAAAACCCTCAAATGCTTACAATGACTTATGACTTTACTCGCGAGTAATGCATTTCACTTTAGAATAAATAAATAATCATTCATTAGTAATGATTAATATATATATATATATATATATATATATATATATACAGTATATATATAAAAAAGCTGTGCAGTAACTGATTACTACTGTGCAGTAATCAGATTCCAAAGATTTGAGTATATTATTATAATTAGAGTATATTACATTTTATAATGCTCATAATCAGATTACAGTTACTTTTTTATGGATTACATGATTACATATTATTCACACAATGGCAGTAAATTATTCATAATTTATTGATTCTCCCTGATTCTTCTATTTATTTTTTTTCTTCAAAGTTGTAAATAAATTATTGGAGAACATTTTACGAGAAAATACTATTTCGGTGTTTCTACTTCAAAATTTCATGTTTAATTCAGTGTTACTTGCTGCATTTTTGCAATTATTTGTGAAACTTACTAACGATTTCTGAGTGAAAATTGTTTCTATGCCAGTTTTTTTTTCAGGGTACTAGTTGGACTAGTCAGTTACCACTTTATAAACTGCAAAAAATTATGCGTGCTTAGTATTTTTTGTCTTGTTTTCCAAACAAACAAAAATCAGCTCTAAAAATTCTTAGATCAAGATATGTACTTGAAAAGCAAAATTACTTCTGATATTATGTCTTGTTTTCTGGGGGGAGAAATCATCAAAATTAAGTGAGTTAAAAGAAAAATATCTGTTGATGGGATCAGAAAAAAAACTTAAACATGATTATTTTTCTGACGACAGATGTTTTTGCTTGTTTTAATTTTAAGCATAAACTCAGTTAATTTTTATCTATTTTACAGTAAACAATACTTAATATTTACTTCTCAAGTATCAAGTAAATGATTTAAGAATGTTTAGATATTTGTACTCAAAAACAAAACAAAAATACTGAGTAAGAAATAAGAAATTTTGCACTGTGGAATTATGAAACTTCATATGGTTTCTTAGTAGTTCTTTGACAGTTATGAAAAAATAGTACTGATTAACTACCACACTCAGCTGAGTGCTATTACTTGTTTGTTAACCAGAGTTTCTTGTTAGTTCATAGAAGTTACTAGAATGCTGCATTTCCGTTTATTCCTTTTTATTTATTCATTAATGACAGAACAGTATTTTAAAGTGTTTTCACTTATAGTAAGACAGCAGCTGTAAACCCTGCAGGAAACACTCACCTGCTCTTCCTTCGGCTGACAGACGAGCTGAGGAACACGTGATCAGGCAGATCTTCAGACGTCAAAGGCAGAAGTTCTGGTCCAGATTTCTGCTGGGTCAGAGAGCTGGAGTTGGCCATGGCCTGCTGGAGTAACCCCTGAACCAGCTCTTTCTCTGAGAACAGAGAACACATCTAATGAGCCTTCATTAGCACATCCATCTGCAGGACACAAGCGGCCTGTGTTGAAGTGTTAAACTCACTGATGTTTCCATAATGGAAACTAATAGGACTGTTTGAGCTGCCCTGCTGTGTTTGTACTGCATTGTGTATTTTTGTTGGTGGTGGTGATTATTTTAAGAGAAGATCTCATAAGTAACTTGAATAAATTGAGACAAAGTGCAAATGAAACAATTTTTTCTCATGACAAATTAAATGCATAGAACTATGGAAGCTTGTGATTGTCACAATTGTTTTTTTTTTTCCCTTGCATTTCTGACTTTACATCTCGGAATTCCGAGTTTACATCTCACAATTCCGAGTTTACCTCTTGAAATTCTGACTTTACATCTCACAATTCAGAGTTTACATCTCACAATTCAGAGTTTACATCTCACAATTCAGAGTTTACATCTCACAATTCAGAGTTTACATCTCACAATTCAGAGTTTACATCTCACAATTCAGAGTTTACATCTCACAATTCAGAGTTTACATCTCACAATTCAGAGTTTACATCTCACAATTCAGAGTTTACATCTCACAATTCAGAGTTTACCTCTCGAAATTCTGACTTTACATCTCGCAATTCCTACTTTACATTGTACAATTCCGACTTTACATCTCGCAAATTCCGACTTTACATCTCGCAATTCTGACTTTACATCTCACAATTCTGACTTTACATCTCGTAATTCTTACTTTACATCTCGTAATTCTGACTTTACATCTCGTAATTCTTACTTTACATCTCGTAATTCTGACTTTACATCTCGTAATTCCGACAATTCTGACTTTACATCTCGCAATTCTGACTTTACATCTCGTAATTCCGACAATTCTGACTTTACATCTCGCAATTCTGACTTTACATCTCGTAATTCTGACAATTCTGACTTTACATCTCGCAATTCTGACTTTACATCTCGTAATTCTGACAATTCTGACTTTACATCTCGCAATTCTGACTTTACATCTCGTAATTCTGACAATTCTGACTTTACATCTCGCAATTCTGACTTTACATCTCGTAATTCTGACAATTCTGACTTTACATCTCGTAATTCTGACAATTCTGACTTTACATCTCGTAATTCT